TAAAACCTTGTAAAAAGAAAACATGCAATTTTTTATCATTATCAAGAATAGAAAATTAAGAGCAACGCCAATACTTATGTTTAATTTGCTTTAAAAAGATTTGTAGTCATTTTTGTGGTAAACCATCAAATGTAAATATTTTTATTTTATATAGAAAAACATTGGAAATTTGTCACGACATTGTAACAAAAGACACTACGGTAAAACTTTGTACCTAAATTTAAGAAACAGTTAAATTATCATAATGAAATCACCATACATCACCATCAACAAAAATCCCTTATTCAAGAATTTAATTGGAGAATTACCATACATTGGATATTATTAATCAAATTATTATGAAAGATTCAAGTTAAATCTTAAAGCAGTTGATTAAATTATCGAGATTGTAATTGGAGATAAATATGTTCATAGATTATTTGAAAACATCATGAAAGTTCAGAAATCTAATTTGTGAATTGGATTAAATTTTCATAAATTTATGATAAACTATTTCATAATTTAAGTAATGTGTTTGTTTAAGGAAAGTTCAAACTATTAAAAATTTGATTTATATAAGGTTATTTTTGAGATCTCATGAAAACTAAATTCTTATGATCTAACCATAGGTTTGGCTTTCAATAATAAAAGATTAAGGCTAAATAGGTAATATCTCCTTCTTGTAATTGTAAGTAGTCAAATCTTATTTAAGAATATCTTCCTAATCAACGATCAAACTAATTATTTCGGTTTTCATGAATGATAAATCTGCTGTTAAATTTAAATTGTATTGTGATTAATTAAATTAAATATTAAATTATATTCCCTAGCATGTAATTCATAAATATGCTAAGATAAAAAATATGCTAGATGCTTTATCATAAATTATTTGACTCTATCTAATTGCCTAAGAATCCTTTTGTTAATTAAATTTGATGATATTAAGGCGAAGCAAATTTTATAAACATCCACTACCAATCCTTAACTGATCTAAAATCACCTATTTCTACTTTAAATTTCGTACCTAATTTTCTAAGTAAGTGTATCAAAAATTTTAAATGATTAAAACGATAATTAGCAAGTAATTCTTTTAGTCTAAATTACACTAATATTTATTAGTATTATTTTCTGGAAACTGAAAATGGATTTTTAAATTTATCAATTTATCTCAAACAGTTAATTTGTTCAAAAGCATTTAAGCATTTTCCATTTTTTTTCTTATTTAACTTCCATAAACTTTTCGTATTTGAATAAACTTTAATTGATCTGAAATTAATTTTTTTTACTAAATATCAAAGCGACAACTTCAATATCAAATGCATTATTTGATATGAATTATCCTATTTCTTCTTGTTTGAAATATAGTTTGACAATGATTGAATGTATATATTCTTTGTGGCACAAATTTTTTGTGATTTTTAAAGATTAAAGATTGATGATTGTTTCTAAATAATCATCCTTTATTTTAAGAGCATATAAACAATATTGTTGAGGTATTTTTGTCATAGTAAGCAATTTTACTTGTTTGAAGTATTATTGGTTAAGAATATTGAAGTATCACAAAATATATACTATTATTAAATTTATTAAATTAATGTTCAGATTTATACGGTATTTGAGATTACAAAAGAAAATTTTTATTTGAGATATATTATTATAAAGAAATAAGAAATTCTCTCATATGAATTAAGACACAACCAGTATAAGTTTGAAAGCTCCGCTATTAAATGAAGAAGCAGGAGATAAAACAGAATTAGTTAAGTACTCAAAAAGAAATAGAGCAGGCATAATATCATAATTGTTCTTTGCTTGGGTTTATGGTACAATAGATGTAAATTTGAATAATTAATGTAGATTGCTTCAAAGGTGACATTAGAAAATGATATGATAGAAGATATTAGATTTGAAGATACTAGTGAATAATTGTATCATAGATTTTTGAAGGAATTTGAAAAGAAAAAAGAAAAGAAAAATGGCTTGATTTGGTCTTTGATTGGTGCATCTTTAGGAAAATGTGTCTTTGTATTCACAGTAATGTTATTTAATGTACATCACTATTGAATCCCTTATTTATAAAATGGACTATACAATATTTGATGGAAGATGATAAAGAAACCCAGAATGGGATAATTTTAGTTTTTAGTATTATTGGAACTAGAATAATATCAGTTATTTGTTAATAATATTCAAATTATTAGATAGTATTATTATTTTATAATATTTAAGAGATTGGTTGGTTATGATTGGATAAGTATTCTATCTATGGCGCTTTTAGGTAAAAGCATGAATGTGTCATATCAAAGTAATAAAGAACATACAAGTGGACAAGTTTTAAACTATATGTAAGTGGATGCAATGAATTATAATGGTTTGGTTGGTATATGTCATAAGTTATGTTTATGCAGTTATAATTAGCAATTTCAATATACATGATGTTTAAATTTATAGGAATAGCATTTCTTGGAGGTTTAGGAGTAATCTTTTTGACAGCAATCTTTAATATTTTTGTTGGTCAAAAGATAATGGGCTATCAAATTTTTATGATGAAAGACAAAGATAAAAGAACAACTTGTGCTAACGAAATCTTTTATAAATTAAATTTATAAAAGTTAATGCTTATGAAGAATATTTTAGATCAAAACTGATTTAATATAGAAATCAAGAAATTAAAACTTTAAAAACTAGATTCTTTGCATCATGTTTGAATATATTATCGGCTTGGTTGAGTCCTATGTTAATATTGAATGCAACATTTTTAATCTATGTAGCAATTGGTAATGATCTTACTCCAGCTAATACTTTTGCTATTATTAGTTTATTTTAAAGTCTTCAAGGGCCACTTTTATTTTTGCCTATGGCTTTGAATGCATTAATTGAAGCTAACATATCATTTCAAAGAGTATAAAGATTTTTACTGACAAAGGAATTAATGAATGATTGTAAATGAATCAAAATCATCCAAAGACATGAAAAATTAAATTGATAATGATGTAGCTTTTAAAATAGATTAAGGAACTTTTTACTGGTCCAAATATAAAGAATAGCCCTAATAACCTACTTAAGCTCCAACTGTAAAAGATCAATAAGTAGAACCACTATTATAACCATAAAAAAATCTCAATATTTCTTTATAAATAAATATAAATATATATGTAAATAATACCATAAGTTGAATCAGAGCCTATATTAACAAATATCAATATAAGGATTGAAAAGGATAGTTTGTAGCAATAGTTGGATATGTTGGATCAGGAAAATCTTCTTTTAATCTAAGCTATGTTGGGTGAAATGATTTACAAAGATGATAAACCTAAAATACAAATAAATGGTTCATTTGCATATGTTAGCTAAAAGGCTTGGATTTCAAATGCTACAGTAAAAGAAAATATACTTTTTGGATTACCTTTTGATTAAAAAAAATATGATGAAGCAATTAAATTCTCATGTCTTAAAGAAGATATTAAAATTTTAGTAAAAGGAGATCAAACTATGATTGGAGAGAAGGGAGTAAGTTTGTCAGATAAAAAGCTAGAGTTTCATTAGCTAGAGCAATTTATAGCAATTGTGACAGTAGATGTTCATGTTGGAAAATTTATTATGTATGAATGTTTGAAAGGTTATTTAAAGGAAAAGACTAGAATTTTGATAACTCATGCTCTGAATTATTGCTAATATACTGACCATGTTTATTTGATGGATAGTGGTACAATTGCTGAATAAGGATCATTTAGTGATATTAAATAACATGAATAATTTAAGAAGGTGTATTAGATGTTTTATAAAGATGCTAAAAATGATGAAGAATTGTAAGAATAAACAAATAAAGTTGAACAAGAATCTGTTTAAGAATTACAATTAGAGAAAAAATAATCATCTCAGACGGAAACTCCAAAAATTGTAGCAAATTAAGATGAAATTGATGAACTAATGTTATTGGAGGATAGAAATAAAGGATCAATTTCATTTGAAATTTTAGCTACATATATACTGGAGGCTTTTTATTTGCTGTATTTTTGATTTTTATGATGTTTTTATGGGATGGATGCTATATAGGTTCATCATTATGGATGGCACACTGGACTTAATAAGCTAGTGAAGATTTAGTAAATGGAGTAGAAACAGAAAACTTTTTCTATTTAGCAATTTATTCAGTACTTTCTTTAAGTTATGGTATATTGGCATTTCTTCGATCATGAGTATATTTAATTGTTAGTTGCAATTAATCTAATAATTTGCACATAGTTTATAGGCTACATCTGTCAATTCAGACGTGTAACAAATCATAGTTTTGATTTCAATATCATATTAGTTTTTCTTAACATTTATTATTTCAATAACTATAAACTGGATCTATTAT